GGTGCTCCCTCTGCGACAGACATGAGGCAGGCAGGGAGGGGGTGAGGTGAGGAGGTCAGGGCATAGAATATAAGAAGAACAGGTCAGGCGTGCAGTGTGTGTGTGTGGGGGGGGGGGGCGTGGATGAACCAGATCTGTGTTGTAGGGGAAGCCTTGGGCGCCAGGCTCATGGCTCCCCAGGAGGACGGGCAAGCAGCTGCCATGCGTCCCTGTCACTGAAGCGGGCTGCACTACCGCTGCTTCTGCTGCTGGTGATGCCGACGGCGGAGCTGTTGCGCTGCCGCCGCTATGGCAGCTGCTGCTGCGGCTGCTCAGTCAGTATGCAGTGGGTGCCGGCGTGTCCCAAGTGGCGCCCACCATGTGTGCTGCGACTTGTTCGGGGGTCATGCCATCGCCGTTGACGATCAGGGGCAGCGGCTGATGCGGCCGCAGCGACGAGCCGGCAGGCGGCGCGCTCGGCATGCTGTGAGGGGCGGCGCGGGGCCGGAGGGTGCCTGTGTGCGAGGGGGTTTGGGGGGATGCCAAGAGGGTGAGGCGCGGCCCCGACTTGGCAGCAGCGTGCGCAGATGTGGAGCGCATCTCCATGCCGCAATTCGCGTTCATAGTAACCCTTCTCAACGTCTGTTCATGTATATCAGCGCACAGCAGGCGACCCCACCCCATTCGCCAATGACCTGGACGGCGGGTCCGCTGAGCGACGACCTTGGCAGCGCCCCCAGGAGTGAGAGAAAAGATATGCATGTTGATCGTGTTGTTTGCTACCTTGCACGGTAAAATGCCGCTCAAAGCCTCGGCGTTGATGCGATGTGTGCCGCTGTGTGCGATCAGGTGCGTGATGGGCTCGTCCGGATATGGATTGTTTGTTTCAGCCTCAATCTATCGCGCTATCATTGTGGACCGAGGCAATGGAAATTCGCTTTTCAGGATCGAGAGCGGACCTGACGAGGCAGTCTGTTCCTCTGATGGTGCACCGTCGACGCAAGCTTATGGCTAGATTTTAAAACCTTGATTTTTCGCCTCCAGAATCATGTGCTGGTAGGCCACACTCTTTCGCGGATGGTCAAACGTGCCCTAGAAAGTCTGTCTCTGGTATGCCGCATACGATGCACAGTGTGTATGCGTGTTGCTTGGCCCATCAGGCCCTCCTTGAGTTGCTTGAATGCCTAATTATGACACTCAGTCAGCACTCATGCCTGCTATTCCCGTGCCTCGCTCCCTACCTGGCCTCCCCTGCCTTTCATTTGTGGTCCTGCCAGGCTCCAGTCGCACCAATTACACGCAATGTGTCAGATGCAAAGCAATGGCAGTGGCAAGCCCCAGAGGGCGGGCGGGACACGCAAGAAGGGTGTGCTTTGCAGATCAACGGCTTTTGAGTCCAGCAGTGAGGGTGGCATTGGGGGGTCGATGGGGCGTGGTGGTACACGAGTGTGGGGGGTACATTATGTGGTCAGCATACATGAATGTTGAAGGGCTGCATATGTGGTCGGATATGTGCATACATATGTGTGGGGAGGGGCCAAAGCAATTCCGTACAAGAAACATACAAATTCTGCCTGGTGGCGGCGTGGTGCGCGCCCGCCCCACTGCGCTGCCAACAGGTTCTGAGGACCCTTAAATACGAGGCCAGCAGCGGGCCAGCCCCTTGTTGGCGCCCACCCACAAAGCCCCGTCTGGTTGAGACTAGAGCCAGCCATTCTGATGTTCGCAGCCCACATACACACAATCAAAAGCACCCAGCACGCTCACATGCCAGTGGTGCTCAGTGCCCCGGATCGCAGCGCCGGGCCTCGGGGTGGCCTCTTGAGCCCCAACAGACGCGCCAGTGTCTGCGCAGCCGCGCCTCACGCTGCAAGCGGGCCCGTGCAGCGCCGCCTGCCTGACGCGCCGCGCGTGGCTCGTGGCGGTCGCGGCCCCGCTCAGACGCTCGCGATGGCAGGGGCCACCTCGGGCTTCGAGTGCACGCTCACGTCCGCGTCCGCGTGCGCCTTTACCGCCGCCGGCTCCGGCTGCGGCCCGCAGTGGCCGCCGCACGTGAACATCGCCACGCACGCCCTCCAAACGCCGTCCAGCGCGCCCGACGCGGGCGCGAGCGCGCGCGCCGTGCGCGCGTGGAGGGGGCCGCCTACGCGCGCCTCCCAGCGGCGCGTGAGGTTGAATGGGAGGCCGTACACGGCGTTCATGTGGTCGTCCTCCCACCACTCCCAGCGGCCGGCCGGGGCGCCGGCGGCGCCGGGCAGCTGCCTGGCCCAACTGGTGAGGCCCCTCTCAGAGTCGGTCCCAGGGATAGTGTTGTCAAGCAACTGAGGTTTGATCCCGGGGTACAGTCGGGGAGGGGCAATGTGCGTGGGTGAGGGTCAACAGAGCGCGATGCAAACTCAAGCGCAGATGGACCGGAAGCCTGCAAAGTTGCCGCCGTTGTCGCGTGCCACGACTCCCTCCTGGGCTAGAACTAACGCACAGGCGGAGGGCGGCATCGGTGCGGCCCCCCGGGCAGTGCCAGCGAACAGGTCCGGCAAACCCTGCCCTCCCCCGCCTGGGTTGTGCTCACCACCGTGATAATGAGGGCCACAGCAGCTGCTGTTGAGAGAATAGAGCTGCAGGGCGCGGGCGCGCGCGTGTGTGTATGTATGTGCGTGCGTGTGTGTTTGTGTGTGTGTGTGTGTGTACGCACGCGCGCGAGTGTGCGTGTGTGTATTTGAGTGTGCATGTGCGTGCGTGCATGCGCAAGGAAAGTCTGAAGTTTGTGAAGCACATGAGGGAAGAAGACACGACGGCACAACAACAGCTGTCCCAGGCTTGGCGTGTGCGCAGGTACTCCCGGGCAGAGAGCAGCAGGCCCACTCAGCAGGGCGCTTTCCAGGCTCGCCGCGACCCCTACTCAGGCCGCACGCCTCTTCGTCGCCGCCAACCGGCCTGTCAAGTAGCCCTGATGCCCCTTTACAGACATAGCATCAGAGCCCCTGCTTCGGCCCGGCGGCCGCGCGCTCACTTGAGCACGTTGTCGACGATGGCGTTGCCGCTGTAGATGGGCCCTCCCCCATTCTTGGCTGCGTACTCTGTGAAATACTGGGCCACGCTGAGGGACATGTAGATGCCAAAGCCCACTGCGTATTTCAGTGCACGCGCATGGGCGTGCGTGTGTGTGTGTGTGTGTGTGCGTGCGTGTGTGTGTGTGTGTGTGTGTGCGTGCGTGTGTGTGTGTGTGTGTGTGCGCGCGCGTGCGCGCAGGGACATGCAGTTGGCAGAGCGACACAGTGGTTGGGCTAGGCGGTTGGATGGATCAATGTAACGCCCACAATTAAGACACTGGGCGTGAAGTTTGCGGTGCGGCATGTTACGGGAGCCAGAGCAAAAGGACACAAGCATGCGCAGTGTGTCTTCCATGCAGGCACGGCATCGCCGTGCGCCTACCAATGAAGATGTTGCGGTCGCAGCGCTGGTCTGTGTGCACCAACATTCCCAGGCCAACTGTGTGGGGAGGGGTGAGGGGCCGGAGGTTGCACCAGAACAGGGCGCCGGGCGTGACTCCTTATCCTTTCAGGCATGGAACCTCCAACATGTTTGTAAATAACAGCCACGGCTCGGCCCACCCATGCAGTCAGCAATTCGCCTTGCACGCGCAGTCCGCTGGCCCCAGGGGTGCAAGCCGCTCAAACGGAGGTCGTTCATCAAGGCACGCGGCCTCACCGGCGGCGATGAGCCCAAACATGATGCAGAAAAGCCCCGAGATCAGCGGGGAAGGCAGGGAGGCAAACAGCCCGCCAAACTTGCCTGCGGACGACGAGTGCACAGCCAAAACAGAGGTGTGAGGGCAGTTTGTGCGACAAGCGAGTGTCGGAAACCCACCGACGAAGACGGCGGCTCGCGAGCTGCTGCAATTGTGCGCCACCAATGATTCGGCGGGCTAGCCCAGGGTTGCAGGAGCGCACGCCAGCAAGGAACACAGGCGGATCGTGCACCGGCAAGGGGTGTGGGCTCCACTTCTAATGGGCGCGTAATCTGTGTGGTTGGAGAAGACGCATCATGCATGGCTTGTGACGCACGCTGATCAAACTCCCAAAGGCCGATGACTCACCGATGAGTCCCATGACGATCATGCAGACAGCGCCCAGCTGGACGACAAACCTCGACCCCACGCGCGTGATCTGGATGGCACCAATGTTCTCGTTGTACGCAGTGGTGCCAGACGAGCTGAACGTATGAGTGTGCATGTGTGTGTGTGCGCGCGCGCGCGTGTGTGTGTGTGTGTGTGTGTGTGTGTGTGTTGGCGCATGCATGTGTGCGTGGCGGCGTCCCGCCTCCGTGTGCGCACGAGCAGGCGCTTGCTCGCACGGCGTTCCGCAGGCGGCCGTCCTGTGCCTGGAGCCATGGCGCACGTGCCTCAGTGCGCTGCCCCATGCATTCTGGTGGGGGCGGAGCGGAGCAGCAACACAAGGCCTGCCTCCCTCGCTCCTAGCCCCTGTTCCCCCCCCCCCGCCCGATACCCAGTGCGCTCACGTGCCAAACAGCCCGGCAAGCACGCAGGTCAACCCCTGTGCGAGGAGGGTGCGGTGAGGAGGTCGGCCTGGCGCATCGCCTGCCCCACCATACGGCAGCTGCTCACCACATCAACGCGCTAGCTGGCTCGGCCCTTGAACACCCTTTGCCACTGGCTGGTCGCCCCTCTGCCCCCAAAGTAACAGGAAATCTTGGCCAACAAACTTGCGATTGCAGGCGACCCCCTCTCCCCAAGTCGTCGACGGGCCCCGCCACAGACCTGCCAAGAGATGGCGCGGCTGAGGACATCAGGGGGCGGCACGGGTGCGCCCGCGATCTGGCTGCACGCGTAGTAGTCCCCAAGGGACTCGATCATTGCCGGCAGGGCCCCGGCCAGCATGGTCAGGGTGGAATAGGCTGTGATGATCGGCGCGCCCCACTGGCCTGCACGCACGCAAGAGATGGCGCGGCGCGGGGCCGGGCGGTGCGGGGG